TATATATGGTATTTTATAAAATTTAATTAAGTTGCTTATTTTCGGGTATTAAGTTAATTTGGGGGTTGCTTATTTTCGGAGGAATACGGTATTATATCAAATTTTTTCTTTAATGACTGATCAATTATCATTTCATTTGGCTTTTTTTTTTCCAGATTTATTTACAATTGGTTTAGGGTTGTCGTGAAAAGATTTGTTAGATTAAATTAGTAAATTCTATTAATGTGGTTAACTGATTGTTAACGTGAAGTGAGCAATGAAATGTAAGAAGATAGCAAGCGGAAAATACGAAACCTAAGTAAGAATTTAATTTACAGTGCAATCGTTAAAAATTCTCGTAGAAAGAAAGATGAAGATAGCTTTAGGTATAATTTATATTAACATTGATTAGCTTTGCTCAACGATATTAATTCAAGTATTTTTTGGATTGAATCTTTTGATTTTAAGTATATGGTAGTAAAAAGGTATGAGAGGGAAACGATATTTTGCTCGACAAATCAATAATTCGGGCGCAGAATGTTTGAAAAATGTATTCCATTTCTAACGCGTGATAAAAGTTTAAGTAATAAAGTAAGGGAAATAGTAAAAACCAATTTTTTTTTTGTTTATGGAAGGGGGAAGTGTAAAAATCCAAAAACGTTTTTCTTTTATAATAATGATGTTAAAACAGCTTGAAAAGTTGCACAATACTTCTCATCATATTCTAATTTAGTACAAAATTTCACGACTTGAATCGGTTTTTCGGGATTCGTACATGAAGATCATCTGCATCTCATGATACACAAAACGCAAAAGAATTACGTAATTGCATCACAAAAAAAAGTATAAAGAGAAGAGAAAGAAAACAAAAAAAAAGCACTTGTATTTTTTCATTGACAATTCATCATGTTTAGATTTACAAGCAAATTTAATGACATTAAAACATCAATCAATAAGATTCATTTAATCAGTAGGACCTCCAATAATTTGATTTTAAATATATATAAATTTCAATCAACCTTGGTTACAAATGAAATTACGAAATCAAACGAGAATGAATCACAAATTGAAGAAACCGAAGAATCCATTCAAACCAAAAGAAAGGCTTGGACAAAAGAGGAATTTGATACACTTCAAGATGCGATAGAAAAGCACGGTAAAAAGTGGACATTTATATCAAAAAATTATTTTAATTCTGAAAGGAATCCAAATTCATTGAATATAAAGTGGGTGAATTCTATATTAAGTCAATTAAGACCTTCTTATTATAATAAATGGACACTTGAAGATGATAAAATACTTGAAGAAGGAGTGAAAGAGTATGGTAGCGGAAAATGGATGGAAATATCAAAATTATTTAGTGATAAAGATCGAAATCAAGTAGCACATAGGTGGTATCTCTTATCAAAGAAAAAGCGAGGGAAATGGACAAAAGAAGAAGACCAAATGTTGTTAGATTTACTTGATAAACATGGGAAACGATGGAAATTACTTAGTGAGATTTTAGATAGACCGAGCACAAGTATTAGAACTCGATATGAAAGGATTAATAGTAATCCTTGGACGACCGAAGAAAACATCAAATTGAAAAATGCTATTATGGACTATGAAGAAGATTGGGAGAAAATCACAAAAATATTTCCATATCGAACGATGTTTGAGATCAAGGATCATTATACTCAATCTTCCAGAACGAATCCATATGTTAATATTGGACATTGGGAAGAAACGGAAATCTCAGATTTTATGAAGGCTTACAAAGAACACGGAAATCAATGGAAGAAAATTTCTAAAATTATAAAAACTAGATCAGCTAAGCAATGTGCTAAGTATTATTATGATCACATACGAAATCCTCATAATCACGTCCACAGAATACGATCGGATGAATGTTGATTGTACCAATTTTTTTTTTAGTTTTTTTTACAATTGGGCGCCGAAAGAGTAGATTTTATTAAATAGATTCACGTATATTCGCGAAATAATAAAATAATCTCAATGAAAATTATGATTGGATTGGTAGAGAATAAATGGTGAAATGACCGGAAGTACCAATTACTCGAGGATGATTTTGAGTATAAACTCTGGCATTATAAATATTATAATAAAACCATTGTCCTACAATAAATGAAACCTTTCCACTACCAATACTCTAATTTATTTAAAGAACAATTAATGGTGATTGGTGGTGAGATTCAAATGAAGACATTTATGAATAACTTACGGCGGTGGTTTTCCAAATGGTTTCAGGAGGACTGAACTCGTAACGTGGGGAACTTAATATTTCTACGATAACTTCAGCTTATTATCAAAATGAGACATCAATAAATAATTTTCACTTGATGATTTATTAAAGATAAAATATTAAATTATATTTACTGGAACGGGGTAATGTGGATTTCCATTCGATGAATTGTTTGGAGCCGATTTTAAAAGATGATGATTCTTTTGGATATTTTACAATAATAGAACGAAATTCGGGTTCCCTTGAACCGTATAATGTTGGAAAAGTGTGAATTTGAATTACCGGTATTAAAATCATGATTATTGTTATTAATATTATATGATAAGATTTCATTGTTTGCTGCGCCACAAATTTATGATCCTGTTAAATAGACAAGGTGTATTTTTTTTTTTTTTCCTTTTTTTTTAAAGGAAAGAAATAAGAAGTGATGATATTAAAAAAAAAAAAGTTTTCTTTAATGGAAGAGCGTTTTTATACGATTAATGGGGCTTATACGTGGCTTAGATCTTCCACGAGATTTCCACGAGCTATATTTATAAATTTATATGATACAGAGGTGGATTGAAGCAACATGGATAAGATACATAAAGTTATCGATCCTTGTTAAACTGATACGGACGAAATTTTCAATCAAAAATAAATTTTTGTTGTGGATTTTTGGGTGTGGATTGGGGTAGAAATCTAAGTTTGATCATGTGAATTTTTTGGCAATTTTGTTAATTTAAAAATTCTTACACTTAGACCATGGAAATGACCCTAGAAATGAATGATTTTTTTTTTCGGATCATAATAATTATAGAAATAACGAAGTTCTTTTCCTGCCATCGTCAAATGTCGATTTTGGGAAGAATAGCGAAAAAGAAAAAACCAAAATTTGACCTATCCAACATAATTTTTAATAGGAGATTTTAATTTTTTAATTAAATATATATTAATACACGTTTTCGAACCTATACCAAACTACTACGATCGAAATATTTACGCAAAGGGTTTCCTAAAAAGAAAAACTTCTCAGATCTTGCCAAGAGAAAAAAAATCATTTCTTCAGGCTTTAATTACTATAGTATTTACAAAGCGAAAATTAATTTTTACTTTGAGCCATTTGATTTCAAGAGAATTATATAGAAATAATTTTAATTTAAACGAACTTTAAAAAAAAAGGATCGGAATCTATTCCGTTTGATTTGGGTTTTTACAGATTTGTAAAATTCATAGCCTTTTATACGTCACCGGTTGCTTAACTCAAATATGTGATACAAGATAAGGATTATATATCCATTTGGGACTTTTCATTTACTTACATTTTTATCGTCTTTACCTTCAAACAAAGAAATGTAATTTCAAAATTGTCTTTGTAGATTGAAAGTTAGTGAATGCGTTCAAGCGTTCGTTATTACAAAGTGATTATTATTAAATTTTTTTTTTTGAAAGGAGTTTTTGACAAATTTAGAATGAAGAAGGTTTTTCGGAGATTTGATTCAACAATCATTGCGAATGTAATGTAATTAATTCTATTTATGGTCAAATAAAATCGACAGGAACGCGTGATAGCTATGTACAATCCGAGGATGATTAAGTAATAGACGATTTTTTTTTAAGGACTGCACACGCCATAGGGCGTAAATGTAGGACTTTGATTGGTATGACCATACGCTTGTCCTTCGGAAATTAGGACTCCAAGAGTTATAATTCTTTTATTGAAACCTCCTTGATTATTAATCATATTTGTATGTAAATAAAAATTCATCTTTTTAAGTAAAAAAACTAATTTTTTTTTCATTTGACAATTATCTTCACGAATTAATACAATAAAGGTATCCTTTAAAAATAAAGGAAATACTTCTGCAAACAAAACTTTTTTTTTTTGATTTAGAGAAATTCGATGTGGCTGATGTACCGCCACGACTAAACGCCCATCTTTGGAAACATCATGATACGCCACAACCCCCGATAATCATTTTCATCCTGGAAATTTTAATAAACCCTTTTTGGAGTTTGGTTTTTATTCCTAACCTTAAAAAAAATTCAAGCTTATCATATTTGTACATATAAAGAATGCCTTAAAAAGTAGTAGTTGCGTAATATCATATAAGTCATTTAATATAAAAATAATGTAAAATAAAAAGTGTCGCACATTGTTTATCGTTCGATTAAATACATAAAAAAAAAAAAAAATTAAAAAAGGTAAATTTCATTAAAAAAGAGAAAGCCAAGGTTCATAATTAAATAACAACCCAAAAATGGTTCAGCTTTGTTCTTTATAGCCGATTTTAATGACCTCACAAGCATTTGCAAAGTTTGATTTGACACAACGTCCGCAAGGCCTTTGTCGATCGCAACGCTTTTTGATACGACGACACCTTGAGCAAGCCCTAACTTGTTGCGTCGGCTTGGGTTTTTTTTTGTTGGTAACGGAAGGACCTGGATTATTATCCGCTGGTTCATTTTGCCGTTGGGTTTTGCGTTTTTTTTCCTGGGAATAAAAAAGGACTAATGAATTGCTATTATATTTATTCGAATTTTGATACATGCATATGATGTGTGAAAAAAAAAAAATCTTAATAATAATTATAAATCACACCTTTATCGCATTTTCATTTTCGATGCTCTTGCTTCCACTAGAATTGATACTTTCGTTAGTACCATCGTGATAGGTAGGAGAATTTCTCAATTTACTTTCGTTACGATCAACTATATCATAGGTTTTATCTCTCTCCAAGGATGCATAACTTCCGGTAATGAAATTTCCTTCGTGATCACGAAGTGAAAAACAATCCATTTCGAAGCAATTAGAAATTACTTCGTGGATATCTTCTTTAGTATCACTAGGAACGAATTTAAAGTTGTAATAATTATTTTCATCGCCTTCCTTTTTGATAGAAATCCTCTTCTTAAACATATTTTGTAGCGTGGGTAAAGATGAAGTGGTTTGGGAAGTGTGTGACATTGTTAAAATAAAATTGTATTGCGAAAAGGAAAAATTTGTAATGTTAAAATGACGAGCGCGTAATAATTTGTATCGATGAGATTAGGTTTTATTTACTCGCGAATTTTGCTAATTGTTTTTCATAATATCGATCTCTCTCTCTCTCTCTTTTTTTTTATTTTTTTTTTTTTTTTAAAAAATGTTCAACCGAATCGTTCGAGGAATTGTAATAAAGAAACGCGTTAAGAAAGAATAACTAGGGGAATAGAAAAGAAAAAGAAAACGACGAATTAACGATTTATATAAGAAATATATACGCAAATCAACCAGGAGTTACCAAGTCCGATAGTTGCCTGAAATTCTTCAAAGTCACAAATTGCCAATTCAATGAAAGAAAAGTAATACAATTACTAAAAAGTTGTTAATGATAAAAAAAAAAAAAAAAAGGAAAAAAGGTATATTATTTTAATTTGATGCATTAAAAAGTTAATCAATGAATTAAGGAATCAAACAATAATAAAAGCAGGCACATGGTTTCCTCCTTGGTGAGATCAATTACTCAAACCATTCTTTTTAGTAATATTAATTACAAAGAAAAAAAGACCTCACTTTGTTTAGAAAGGGAAAAAAATACATGACATTCTAATTAATGAATTCATTGAATTTTCCGTCCTCCGATTTTATTTTTGACATCATTTGATCATTACTATCCCAAACCCGGAAATATCATTAATCAATTTGCTTTTTGTACCACAAATTGAATGACTTCCATCATTAACCCTTTTTCTTTATTCATTGTGGTAATTTACGGGAAAATTCTTCGATTACTCGTCAGATTTTCAAGGAAACCTGTGAGTGATACGTTGAAACCTAACTCTCAATCAAAACGATTAATATAATAGGCATTGTAAATGGTAAGATTTTTCACCTGATTTATGATATTTAATAAATCGCGTTAACGGGTAAAAGGGTTGAATGACGAGAGAAAAAAAATCATACAACTTGATGTTACATCACGATGTAATAGACGAGATTAACTAAATAATTGTTGAAGATTTTCGGATGTCACACCGAGAAATATTTGTTTATCGTTTATAGAACTGTTTGCTGTTTATATTTTATTATTTGCTGAGATTATTGCACGCAAACCGGGTGTAAACAGATACCAAATCGGTCTCTTGGATC